GGGGATATTAGTGTTGGAAAAAAACAACCTACAAGCAGTTTAGGTACTACTTTTGAGGACCAAATCTGTGTTAACGCACAGGCCCAAAGGGCTCAGGTCCAGCGCCCCCTTGGTTCTTAAACAAAATTATTCAATATTAAATTTGGCAAAAATAAAATTGTTAAAAAAACTATAAAAAGTAATTTAACTACAGAAATTTTTTTTTTTAAACAAAACTTGTCCCCCAAGGGCCCCAAAAGCTGTTTTAATGGGCCTGTTGCGGACAGAATATACAGTTGTTAGGAAGGAAGGTCGAAAGGTAATAAATAAAGAAATTTACTACATACAGGAACATTCACAATTTCTTTACCAGGGACAATAAGATTATTTTCTTTCAAACAATCCCTATTTTTCCGCAGCAGTACAATACCTTTTCTGTACTGCGTAAGCGGTAAGCGAAAAAGTTAAAAATCACATTTTAGGCATCAAGTAAAAGTTTATGTCTGTTAAAATCTTGAAATCAATTTCTTATGGCATTACATAGCTTTCTTTCTCTAAGCTTAAGGTAAGAGCTGGGTAAGTAAATAAACTCAGCAAACACAATAAATAACTGAGCATGAACCAATTAAATTGTACTTTGTTTACATTGGGCGAAGATGCACAGCAAAGAAATGCAATTGAAACACACTTCTTATATACGTACATACCCCAGGAAGGGAAAACACAAAAATGATTGGATAAGATTTTTTTTTTAATTTATTATTCTGTAATGCAATACCTACTCATGAACTGTACTCTATAGAACTTTTACAAGTGTTAAGATATATGAACTGAAGAGAAGCAATATAAATATAAGCAACCTAGCAGAATATTTACTAATTTTGAATGATCCTAAGAATGAATTCGTGAATTTCATGAACAGAAATGAAGTATTTGTATTAACTGGAACTAAATACTATCCACTGTTACAAAATTGTACAAATCTAATACGAAATATGTTTTAACGATTCTTCAAATCAAAGAGCATTTTAGCCTATAAATATACCAATATACTGATTTTGGGAATGTAATAGGAAATATCTCATAAAAATGTTAAGCTATCAGTGTTTATTTCCATAGACATTTCTTTCAAGGATTACAATCATCCCAACAACAACTCAACACATTCCCTCCCAAGAAGAAAAATAGTAAGAAAATATACTATACAGAACATATTACAGAAGTATGCAGTAGGGATGCAGACTCCATGGTCTCTGCCAGTCTAGCATCAATCATTGAAAAATCTCTGAACATATGTTTCTGTCAGTCCAGGTGCAATTGAGAAAGAATAAAATGTGTACATAATGTCAATTACGAGATGCCTCTTATTAGTTTTGATTGCTTAAATCTATAACAGTTCAAAAGATATGTAGGTAAACAAGCAGTAATCTTTCAATTTATCTAGGTGAGGTAAAAATTATTCATATTTATTTAAAAACACAATGATTGTTTCAACATCACCTCTCTCAATTGACATAGGTCAGTATACTGAATCTCTAAGCTATAATCTTTAATCTGAAACACTAACAGTATATACATTTACAATAAATCCATTAATTAAAATCTCTCAACACAAACATGCAATAATAAAAAAAACACACATCAAATTTCAGCAGGAATATCAAATTGTCTGACATAAAGTACTCAGTACTTGGCAAGAAGGTGAATTAAAAGAACAGGGGACACTTTCATCCTTCAACCTCTTCTTCTAACTCACTGCCCTACCAAGAGTAGAGTACTTTTAACCTCTGGTGACCAAGTACAACAGACTATATAATGTGAGATTAGTATTTTAATAATTTAAGGTTTGTGATACTCAGCTTTATCCTCATTTCACAGAGTTTATTTATATATTTCTAGACTTGGAACTAAAAAGGGGCACATGTTGCCTAAATACAAGATTATTGGCCTTCCAATTAATTTGAAATATTTCCTGCAGTCATGAAATCAGAGAGAATTTCTCAGAGAAGCAAACCTACTCCATTCACTTTTGGATTGCCACTAAAGATGTGCCATGTACTTTTCTTTTTAACAGAAAAAAAACAAGACCCCAATAATGTTGAGCAATGATTGTCAATGATCTACGTAGGAATCATTCAAATGAGAAAATTGTTTGCTGTAACTGTTGAACACAAGATTACAATAACAAATAATATCCGACTTAGGATTACATTGACTTCTTTACTTTACTAATTTTTTTTATGAAAAAGATATTTCAAAACATTACGCAAAAACACACAAATTCCATTAATATATTGAATGTAATGTCAGGAATGAAAATAATTTTGAAAAAATGTTGTACTAAGTAGGGTGCAACAAGAGACAGTTTAATCAGACAATACATTAATCCAAAATTAAAATGCATTGTTACTGATGGACACATTCCAGATAAGTTAGGTTACAGAACGTTAAATCCTATCACATTAAATGCAAGCATAATTAACAAATTAGTTCATGATCAGACGAAACCTTTAATTTATTCGTTTTCTGTATTGTACTTACACACATGTAACTGTAAGTGTTTAAAAGTGTTAATCTTTAACAAACATGTTCTGTTCTGAATGCTGTTACCCTTGTACAGACTTGCTTTTATTCTTATACACTCTTTACAACACTGTTTTCCTACCAGTATAGCTTTCAAAATTTCTCTGAATATATAAAAATAATTGTGCTTACAGTTTCCAACTATATACTACAATTAAAGAGCTTGGCAAGCTTGAAGGCGAGATTTGGAATTCCGAACCCTTTTCTTGCATTGTCCCTTTTTAAAAGAATGAGTTCTATCTACCTCCTTCAATTGTTTTCCACAATATACAGTATACAACATCAAAACATAGAATTGCCACATAAATGACTTAATGATAACAATTTAGACAAAGAACAAAAGTTTTGGAAAAAAAAAAATTTAATTTAATTACCCTCTTTCCCCCTAATCATTTTTAATTTTACAAACAAAAACAAGTTATTAAAAACAAAATCTTAATTGCAGGCTATGCCTATTGCACGAAAGTTTCTTTAATGGAAATTATGTGAAATTCCAAAAGAGAAACTAATTTGTAATTTATTATTTGAGGTTTTGGAGTTTTAATACATGAGAGAACAATTATCAACTTAATATTTTCTTGTAATCAATGGTATCTTGAATTTGATTATAATCATCATTCGTCCAGTACAAGTTTGACTGAGTACTCCAACACCTAAGGGGTCAATACTGATCACATTGAGAACTTAGAGGTAAATTTTCACAAGCGTCCCTGAGGTTTTATTCATTGAGAAGTTTCTGGAAATACACCTTCCACTGTTTCTTTATTTTCTCCTCACTAGTCAGGACTTGAGTGTTTTCATCCTTCATGCAGCACACAAGCAAAATATCTTTCTTTGACAACTCTGTAACCTTCAAAAACTTGTAAATTAACTCCAGTTAGTCCAGTTAGAACGTACTTCATGATAACTATTTCAATAAAGTGCACGAATTCATTGTGTATGCACATACTGTCCAATCAAAGTTTCTGTCTACTTGTCAGCTAGCAGCTCTTTTAGCCAAACAGAAATCTCAAATTGCAATGGTGTCAATGACAGAGGGGTTGATATTTATGAAACGAAAAAATTTAATCTGTTCTACATGATGCAATTGAAAACTGAAGATAGCTGAGCACCAGGTGACAAGAGTCCTTTGGCGCCATTATTTCTTTGGTAATACGTTGAGTCTGCACATCTGCATTGTCTACAGCTCTTATCTTTTGTTTCAAATTTCAAAAAGTTGAAGGTAATAATTTTGTTATTAAAGAAAAAAACCTCTTTGAAATAGAATTTCATTCAACAACTTTACAAAACAGGGATTGCTTCCAAACAATGTTTTGTTGAATCATGTTGTATGGTTACTTCGCGCTAATGTAGTGATACTTAAATATACTTATATACATATGGCATACTTATGACAAAATGTTCTTCTGCATTTAAGACTGATTTTTTACTTATCTTTATGCCAATGCATTCATGACCCCCCTTTTACAATATCATAAAATACAGAAAAAGTCAATAACTTCAAAGTATCTTGTAAATGTCTGTAACTGTGAATGTGTCTGAAAATTATGTACTAAAACCAAGAGTGTTAGGTTAAATGCTTCTATCTCGTAAATCTTTTGTCAGACTATGCATTTTGCCTTTCAATAATTGTCTTGCTGAACTCCTTTCCATCTGCTATTTGCTAATGGAGCAGAAAAGTTTATTCCTTACATAGACAGAATTAGTGCCAGCATGAGTAAGAAAGACTAGAACATTCATGTAACAGAATTTAATTAAATAAAGAAGAGTCATTATTACAATCCACTATTCTACTACACTATCTGGCACATGCCTGCCTCTACAGCTGCTCTGATGAAAGAAAAACCATGAGTCAGCCGCCCGAGTAAGTGGCAACATTGTTCTCCCCCACCCCTAGCCATCAAGTAGACATTTTAATCAGACAATATAGAAACATATTTTGTGCATACTCTTAGGATAATCTGAAGTTTGTGCCAACAAAAATTTCTAACAATGAATTTTCCTCAGAGAAATTCAGGAAACGGAAAGAAACAAAAGATAAAAAAAATGACTTTGACAAATATATTTTTAGACAATGATTATACATATTCAAATAGTCTTTTGGTTACAAATACCATTAGTGATTGTCTAATTTTCTATGGCAGCATTTTTATGTATTGTTTTTATACTTTGAGACAACCAAATCTTAGTGTTTTCAGCAAAATATTTATTTATTCATAGGAAACTGGTAAACAAACAATATACAGAGTATAATTTAGTGTACATAAGTAAATAATAATGTTAACTAGTCTCTTAAAAATAAATGTTTAGTTAAAAATATTATTTATAATTGACTAAGAATGCTATATTTATTCATATTTCTGGATTACTTTTAGAGTTTTGCCATTACTTACTGTCCAAATCTCAAAATACAATTAAAAATTAGTACACTTACTTACCCAAAGGTTGTTTTTGGAAGAACGCTCTAACCCAATTTTTCTGGAGGTTCTCCAATGCTGGCATATCATGGAGTGGAAATACTTGAGAAATTATTCCAGCAGACAAACATTTAGGAACTAAGTAAAAAGAAATGGAATGGAGAAAAGCACTTAATAAAAGTAATAATGTACATAATTCTCATAAATACTCAAAACTCATAAATTCAGAACTAACCAATTGCTTGGCCTTCAATAAGGCGCAAACCCCCCAACTGATCTGCTGAACCAGCTCGCAATGTCTGAAGAAGATGCAGCACAAGCCACTGGCGCTCCTGAGTTGAAAAGAATCCTGATTCATTTTCAACACCTTCAAAATAAGTTGCTTCTTGTTGTACAAATTCTTTCAGGCCTCCCCCATAGTCTGATTTAAGTGTTTTTGGTAAATGAACTTCCTCAGCAGCTTTTGTAAGTCTACAGTATTAAGGGGAAAATTCTTTAGTAATCATTAAAAGAAAATGAAGTATTAATATTATTTTATTCCTTGTAACAGAATAGTTTATTTTATTGGGTATTCTTTAGTTCTTAATCTCATGTAATGTTTTAAAAAAGCTATGAACTTACACACTGAATGGTGCTGTAAGGTAAAATCCGTAACTGTCCGATGAGGCATGATGTCGAACATGGACTACTAAACCTGGAGTTCCTGCGCGTAAACGAGACAGCAACCACATCAATGTAAAATCTTGAGCTCCAGGTGGAAACATAAGGACAACATCACACTCCTGTACAATAAATAAACTTTTCATTAACAAAAATATCACCAAGTAATGAATAAATCTATGTTTCTCACAGAATGAGTGATTCAAGGTATTTCACAAAGAAATACCTGCGTTGGTACAGTTTGAATCCATAGTCTTCTTGGAGTCATCAAATGACCAGTGCAAGGAATTTTTCTTCGCAGTAATAGAGATGCTAAAACAAATATATTTTCTGAAATTTCTTTGAATTATACTGAACAAATATGTCATTGAAGATAGAGAAGAAACAAACGTAATTTCAAAAATTCTAAATCCAAACAAAATATTGAGATTCATGTACCCTAACAATTTTTAAACATGAATGATTAGTTTAATGATATAACATGGCCAGGGAAAACGATATCGAAAACATACCATTTTCAAAAGTTTTCTTTGCGTTCATCATAAAACGATGTTTCGAGCCACCTTCTGGATCTTCTTGTTCCTCTTCAGTCGTCTTATTACTTACATTGAAATCTCGCATTTCTCCCTGAGATACATCCATTTGAAACAGCAGAACCTGCGATTCGGTACTGCCTTTCCTTCGTTGATATCACAATTACGAGGAAATGATAACAGTAAAATACCACACTATCAAAACAATAGTGACAACTAGCCGCAGAAAACTTCACTCTTGTTCGCTTCGCAATCACAGAAATGTCACAGAAATTCAGTGACAGATCTGTGGCACAGACTTTCGTAGGCAAAGACGCAATATTTACCTATTTTCTCCATGTGTGGCAATGAGTAACGAATTGTTCACCACAGCCCGATGTAGGAACTTCCTACAATATTTGTATTAATAGGATGTCTGTCAAATATACACATGGATGAATGGGTGTTAATATACACACATACCCCACTCTACAAAGTGGCCGACTTTGCATTACAACTTTTTTTTTTTTTAAATACCCTCCGGCTTCTTGTAAAATCGACAGTGGCTATGACCTACATACATCAAATGATATTAAACATTTATGATCACGAATCTCTGTACTGAGAGATCAGTGGCATTCATTCAATACACGCAATTTACAGTATATTCAGTGGCAATCATCCAATACAAAGAGTACTATGTCCATACATTAAAATTAATACCTATATTTACTTATTATGTCTATGATAATCACAGTTTAAGAGAATAGGTGTGTCAACTTGCTTTTTTTTGTCTGATTTTTTGAAACCGATTTGAGGCAAGTTCCTCGATATCGAGATATCCATAATAGGGAGTTTGTGCACGCCATAGGGTAAGCACTATCGATCAGCTATCGATCCTCTCCGCATGCGCAGATGCAGCCAAGTGGTGCGAAATTTGAATTGCGCATGAGTAGAAAATCGATAGTGCTCTACCGTTCGATGAGGCACAAACTCCCTAACGACCAACTAATGTTTGGCGAAATAGCAGGCAGCTGGCGGCAACGGTAGTCGAACTTGACTCAGCGACGGGACCCGAACTTTTCATATCAACGTACAAAAGCCACAGTAAATAACTTCAGATAGTTGAGCAGACTGTTCTCTTTTCCCTTGACACGACAATAGCACTCGCCGGCGACCTAAACGTAAAACGAGTATAATGGGGCCGCTGACTAAACTCACAGGCCGGCGATACGCTATTCGACTGTATACTTTCCGTTCCTACGCTCTCTATTCAACCACCTTGCGGCCCCACGCATCTCATTAACGATCTTCCTCATGACATTCTTGACCTCGTCATCCACTCTTCCTCCTCCACACCTACAGTTCCAAAATCTGTATTCGAACTCCAATTCGAGAACCTCACTTATCTTCGCCCTCTACCTCGGCGCCTACCCTCATGGAACCCCAAAACCATCCAATAGCTGGCGCGAAAACCGACATTCCACTAATCCCGCCATCTCCTAACCACAACAAACGAAATTGACACCGCCTTAGTCAGATATAACCAACAATTACGTCACAATAAATTCACCGAAAACAAAAGCAAAAAACGAACAAAGACGCACTCGCAACGAAAATAATCTTGCAAAGTCAAGCAAGAAAACGAGCACAAAGACGCTTCTTTGCCACCCGCGAACCAACTGACAGAGAAAACTTTCAACGCACGAGATAAGTACACAAATGATTAAAAAAAGACGAATAGGCCAAATTCATAAAACTGTTGACATAAAAGACCGCTCTGATATATGGAAAGTACAAAAGACATTACGAACTGCAAAATCACATGGAGTCGGAAGGAAAGGCCCGTCCCGATAGAAATCAATGGGAACAGAACACCATGGCGTGCCCGCGGAACATACCTCGTCGTCGTACTAGTCGAAAAGCTGAGTTGGGCAGAGCAGTGCGAACACGGCGGCGCGTCAGCTGAGCGAAAGAATTGGTCACCCCACGAACGAAGACGCTATGAGACGAGACTAAGAAAATACTATATTCGGGCTGCGTCCGCGGGGTCGGAACTTACTCTAGAATATCCCGTTCCACCGCCGCAAAATCTTACATAAACAAAGTAGAACGAGCTGAAAGCCGCTTCGTACTCATTGTCAGCTAAAGACCAGAACTTGGTTGTGCCTACTGCACGATTCGAGACAAACAAAACCTGACTCCTATAAAACGGCATCTTTACGACCAACCAAAGAAAGAACTAGAACGCGCATTTAAGGACTCCTCTCTAGACCCCCCTCTTCAGCAAAAATCTTCAATATTACTGTAAAAAATCCCCTAAAAGTATTAAAGCATGCCTACCGACCTGTCATTCTTTCGACTTTTATAATTGAAAACAACAACAACAGCTCCGTGGAATAGCCGTCTCATTAATAAAACTGCCTTCAACTCTTACTCAAACACTACTCTTCTGTAGAATAAAAAAGCTCCCTCTAATCCCCTCATCAAAGAATCAGCACAGTGCGCTAAGCTGATACCGCGCCTGACGCCTTCCGGCGACGCAACCCAACCAACACCATTTCATCGCGCAAGGGGGGGAGCCGCACTGCTCGCATCCGCGGGCAAATCATGGCCTCGCGTTCGCACAAAACAACCAGTGGTTGCACAGACGTCATTCAAATCAACATGGACATCCCATGGAAACGAGAAGAGACGTACCTGGGACTGACTTTCGACTGTGGACTCGACACATAAAGGATAAGACTTTAAAAGCACATCCAATAATCAACGTGACCATCATGACAAACAAGAACGTGAAACCCAAGACCAAACTTTACATACATCAGACGTATATCAAGCCAATAGCTACATACGGCAGTGAAACATGGACTTAGACTTTCCAATCAAACTATAACTTGTTGACCAGGCTGGAAAATAGAATAATCCGACTGACTTACAGACCCGCACCTGATGACTGCTACCTCGACATTTAAAATTCCACATGACATTAAATCTCTCGCGACAGAAACCTACGAAACTGGACGTAAACGACTTTTAGACGCAATGCACAATCCTAGCTTCTCTGCCTTTGTCGAACCCCTTCGCCATATTATCAACCGTACCATCTCACATAACAGAAAGCGGCAATATTGACATATTCATCCTGCCCCTACCTTCTCTCACAATATAAACGATGGGACGATAGGAGCAAGCATCCGGACAACCAGCACTTACATACATGGCAACACATGCTTTTCTAATGACTATTCTGCAGAACGACTCTGGTGTCCTAAAATCCTGACATTTTCCGTTATTCCAACAATCACCCACACACCATATACAGCACTACTAACACCTTAATAAAATAACCCCTCGCGACGCAGTATCCTCAAATAAAATAACCTTTTTAGACCCACCCCTTTAACGAAATCACCCATTGGACATCTCCCAGCTCTACAACACAACCGCGTATATATAATATAACTGATACCCTCGTACAGTGTAATAAAGAAACATATCTCCCCCCCCCCAGTTTCTTCCCTTAACAAAATAACCTGTCTATATCCTAGACCCAATAAATTAACCCGTCTTCTCATGTGCAAGCATCAGCCATCAATTCCCGCTTCCCTTACGCCATTCTCTATCACCAGTTCTTCTGGGGGTGGAGAGATAGTAAAGAATGCTTTCTCCACCATGTTTATATCTCACATGTGCTGAGGAGTACAGTTCATGTACACATAGCACTACTAAAACACATACATACGCAGTTTAACGCTCTCGGGACACTGGTATATCGGCCAGTCGCGGCGGATGATCGCGGCATAAACATATCCGGTAATATATATATATATATATATATATATATATATATATATGCGAAAAATTGAAAAGCACTCGAATTGTGCGCTTTTTTTCGGTGTTAATTTTTCTTTCAGAACAAATATATTCATTTATTTTTTTAATATTAAACTATTTACATGTGTCTGGAGTGTTTCTATGCTTCTGAAAGAAAATTTTTGCCTAGAAAGCATTTTTTCACACCAAGTTTTGAGTTCTTATTGCGGCATAACCATTTGCAATATCTCAGTAATTTATTAGACAAAATATGCTTAAAATTGACTGAAGAGCTTAATTGCGAAGTTTCGACGTTTCTTCCCCGGACACCTGTGAATACACTACTGGATAATATTATTGCATCACATGTGAAATTTTAATTTTCTTACAATTATTTCCATAAACTTCCTAATAATTGTTTTAAATCTATTACAAAAGAACGCAATCAAGCAGTGAACATATTGTATAAAAAAAGAATAATAATTTAGAAAGCAAATAAAAACGCATATGTCTTTTTACTAAAAACAGTATTTTAATATGTAGAAATACATTTTAATACTGTGTATTTGGGTCGAGCTTTTGTTACTGCTTCCCGGGGATTGAAAATATAAAATATTAAATCTTTGATTGTTTGTTCTGAAATTTGTTGAACCATACACTATGTAATAATAGTTCGTTGAAACTCCTCCTTTTTTCTGGTTTACTATCGAAGAACTGCAATTCCAATTAATTTCCATCAATTCTCAATCGCATTTAAGTTCGGGCTATTTCCTGGCCAGTATAAAGTTTTTATTTGATGTTTTCTTTGAAACTCATTTTTAGCTCACCGGCAAGGTGCTGAATCATTCTGAAAGGTGCAGTTTTTGCTGTTCCATAATTTTTGGAAATTGTTTGCTAAAATGTAAATATAAACTTCAAAATTTACTGTTCCTTGCACCATGTGCAGTGCACCTACTCATCCGACTTTGAGGAAACTTAACTTTAGGTTTCACACATTCAGGAAGAAATTCTTCGCCACTTCAACGAACAAAGATCTTGTCATTATTTCCATACAGATTGAATTTTGACTCATCCGAGGACATTACTCGTGCCCACATTTCTTCAGTCCATTCTACCTTCTCTTTGACCCATTTTAATCGAGCCTGCCTCATCTTCGTCAGTAAAGGCTTCTTCCGTGGTCTTCTTGCGTTCAGTCCTATCTTCAAGAACATGTTTCGAGCAGTTCTGTTACTAAGTACAACATTAGCTGACTTTTCACATTCTCATACAAGTTCACATGAGGTCATAAGTCTGTTTTTCAAACACATTCGTTTCAATATTTTGTTTGTTTCCCTGTAGTTGCTCTCTTACGTCCTCTTCCCTGTCTTCTGCATACAGATTCGGTTTCCCGGTGTTTCTTCAATAGGCTGCTCACTGTAGATTAAAACCTATATTCTTAGCTACATATCTTGAAGACTTTCCCTCAGATGCTAGAGCATGAATGACACTTTTCTTCCGATGAGTAAATTCCACATTCTTTCCCATTTTGTGTAACTACCCACTACACCTCAGGGATCAAGGGGAACAACAATGAGCTTGAACTCAAATTACAAGGTATTTCCCTATGTGACAGCCCTTTGTTGAACGAAAATAAATAAACATGAGTGCCACTGATGACACATCCTGATCGCAGATAACAATGTTTCTGAAAATCAAGTGATGCAACATTTTTTTTCTAGTAGTGTGTTATAGAAGTATTTATAAGCAGAAAATTCGAAAATCAGAGACAGACACTTCAAATTTATCTACCTGTATTAGTATGACAAAGCGAACTCTTATTACACGAACACAGATTATAACGATTCATTGAAATTCGTGTTAACAAGGGTTTACTGTACTGTCATGGAGAAATATAGATTACTACATTCCTCCATGGTTCTGAAATGAACTCAGAGGGTGAATCCTCTGTGATGAGATGCAACGTCCCGATCTCTGTAATATAGATACAGTTTGTTAATAGTATACTTGTCAGTTACCACGCAAGATAATATATTCGTCAGGTTAATAGACTGGCATGGATTTGTGATGCGATATTGTGTATAAATAGATTTGTCTCACGAAGGGCGTGTTCGGAAATGTTCTGGTGCGAAGCTAATGTAGATTCTTTGACCATTTCTATTGGTTCGCTGCGACGAAATGCTGAAGTACCATATCAGGCACTCAGCCAGACAGACACTAGCCAACTTTAGTGGGCAGTGGGAGGTACCGGTAATGCGATTGCAAAGCAACCTGTGCAAAGCGTTGTCGGCGCGTGCTTAGTGTCTATATGTATGTAGGTATATCACTGTGTTTTAATGACTGGGTCGACATTTTTCTTGCGTTAGTTTGGCGCCAGCAGTGGCGATTTTAAAAGACGGTTATTGCAATAAAATTCTTGGGCTACTTCGTGTGGAAGGGAGCGTGAGATATCAGTGCAATAACGCTTTGGACGTTGCATATTATGACATCTAATACAGGTTTCCTACTTTGTCAATTGTGGATGGGTAATGTAAGTATTTTCTGCCGCGAGTAGTGCAGTTGTGTTAGTTATATTAGTTTTGTGCATTTATTAATCTCAGTTTGCGGCCCTTAAGCCCAATTAGTTACTGGTGTTGTGTATTTTTTTCGTTTCTCACGGACCTTAAATAACGTAACGTGTAGTTTGTTTCATTTTGGCATGCTTTTATTGACAGCACTGATACTTATTGAACAGTGTGAACATTCATGTAATTTAGTGTTATATTCAAGTTGCTGGATTTGTTTAGTCAGGTTGACAATTTTAGTTTTGAGATCTATAACTGAATTGTGTTACAATGAACTCTTAGCTGAAATTATGTTTTGATAATGTTGTTATTCTCTGTTTTAATGTATTCCTTATGATGTAGGATGTATTACAATTGATTTCTCGCTTCTTTTTGGAAGGAAATGCTGGAACTGTGTACTAGTCAACACAAAGAAACTTTGAAATATTAATTCTTGGAATAGGTAATAATATTAAAAAACTAGGGGAATATTTTCAGAATGTAGTTGTATGATATTTAGTCAATTATTCTGAATTATTGATTTTAAAGAAAATTTGAACTCTTTTTAACCCCTAGAACATGAATGGTACTTTGTGTGTATTATTTTTGGTTGGAGATAGATTTGTAATCTACAAAGATACCTTGATCTTGTTGCAGTTGGAGCCTTATATGACTGAAAGTTTTATAATGACAGCTTTTCAAAGGATGGGTGAAAGTCCTCAGAATGTGAAAGTAATGAGGAATAAATATACAGGCGAACCAGCTGGGTATTGCTTCGTACACTTTTCAACTGATGAAGCTGCTCTAAATGCCATGCACAAACTAAATGGGAAACTTATTCCAAATACAACCAATCCTGTATGTACTGTATATGTATATAACTTTATATCTTATTACATCTTGTTAGTTGTTAAGAACTTCAATTATTCCTCTTGTACTTTAAATTATATTGATTTCTATTGCCCTTTACTGTGAAGAAATTTTGTTCATTTTCAGCGTCATCCAACTAAACGTAAGAATTTGTCTCATTTAACAGTTAAATGGGTTAATGGATTAATTAATTGTGGTATTACAAAATTCTGAATTATTGGTATTACTATTATTATTATTACTTTAAGATTTTTATATAAGTCTTGTTATATTACATTAATTTTTGAATTATGTTCAGCAAACATTAGCATAATCTGTTATTTAAATAATAGGAATCAGGTGTAACTAATTCTTTGTTTGCAAGTGTAATTCATTCGTTTGGTAGGCTGCAGTTTCATTATTTTATAAAAAATATATGGAGTGATGGTCTACTCTTAAAGGATATAAGAGTGGTAAGTTAACTGTTGTAAGTTGTGGATACCACTAGTTTTTGTTGATTATAATGCAACTGGGCAATATGTGCTAATTTATGTTCTTGAAATTTATTACATTCATTGGGTAACTTATCGTGCAGTATTGCATTGTGTGTCACATGTTTATGTTTCAACTGTTGCTTTCCAATAAGAAGACTGGTATTAAATAGTCTTGTCATGGTGGTTCTTCTTGGAAATATTGAAGAGAGGCCAGTATCTAATTTGTTTCCAGGAAATTTTTGCCATGGCCAAGGAGTGATGAGCTGATTGTTCAGTGAGGGAAAAGGTATTTTGGTTGTGGGAAATATTGTATATATACTATTTCAAAAGCTTCTGATGTTAATGCATTAATTGCTTATCTTCAGTGTGCTGTATTTTTATCTCCCAGGAATGGCAATTTTTATCTGAATCAACCGGTTTACATTTACTCTCTTCATTTTAGTATTAAGGTAATATAATTTGTTTGTTGGTTTGCAGCCTGTCCGGTTCAAGTTGAATCATGCGGGAACTACAGGGCGACCGTCTCTTGATCGTGAATTCTCATTATGGGTCGGAGACCTGACACCTGAAGTGGATGATTATACCCTTTACAGAACATTTGCTGCACGATACCCCTCCATAAGAACAGCAAAAGGTAGTTCAACCTGTAAAGCTATGATACATTTGTTAACCATCATGATTTCTGAAGAACTGATACTAGTTTCCTGCATTGTATGAATATTAACTGATGCTTAATGGAAGTAATTTAACAATATGAATTTAAAAAATCAACATCCTCCATTTTATTTTATTTGTGTAATATTTGAAACTGAATATAATGTTGTTTCATTTGAATAACCTCAGAAATGTGGCCAATTCATTAGACATTGGATATTAGTGTTGATTCATAATAGGTTAAGGCTGCTGGAACTTTCTCATTTAAGCTTTTGACCATTGTTAATATTGTGTATTTTGGCTCAGCGTGGATATGCTGAGAAGCAGTTTATTCTTGATGAGGTCACAAGTTAACAATACTGTATCTTTGGTCAAAAAGTTTCTTCAGTTATTCAAAGTTTGTTTCAGTCTAAATCTGTTTGGATGTTATTAGTTTTTATTGTGAAGATCAATGGGGGTTTTTTATTAAATTTCTCTTGATCCTCGGAGCAAATGCTGAAATTTCTCCTTGCTTTGCTTTTGAAGACGAAACTAAGCTTTTACTCATTGCCAAAAGTTTTTGTTGTTTTCTTCTTTCTGATTTTTTATTATTACATAGAATAAGTAATAATATAAGAACACTGTGTGTGTGTGTGTGTAGAAAAGGAAAAATGGGCAACAATGCTGTGAAAAATTTATCTTCAGTTTTACAGAAATAAAGGATTTGTGATTCCCAATTCCAAAATATGTCTTGAACAAAAAGCACAATGATTAAGCACATACTTGATTTTTTTCTAAAATGGATATTCTGAAATTGCTCTGATATAACGAGACAATTAGAAAGGAATCATTTAATATTAAGAGGTGCTGTACAGCTCCAGGAGTACCCATGAAAAAAAACTTCACTGAAAAACCATGTCCTTATAATGAAAAGTTAACCATACCTAATAACAACTTGAACTTCAAAAATGTATTGACATTTTGTACAACCTAAAGGGTTAACATAAGTTAATCTATCATTGGTGCTTTGCATGAACCTCATTCATTTTCAAAATATTCTCAAAATTGACTCCAAAGTTTTTCTTGCTTAAATAGAACAACACCCCTACAAATATGGTCAAGCTAGATTTTCCTTAAAATTTCAGTTTTTAAAAAAGTTAATGCAATTTTTTTTTTTTTTTTTCCCCATCTCTTTGCACTGGTTGATGATAAAAACTTTATTCTTAATTATATATTTATTAATATTAGGACATTGAATAATGTAATGCAAAAAGTTTTTAAATGTTGGTCATTTTTATACGATCCTGAATTGCCATTTTCATTAACGAAGATACAGAGTTCTTACTTTCTACAGCTCTGGAGGTATGGACTTTTTTAATTAAATGAATGTTAAATTGACTACATTCAATTTTTAATCGAAATGTGTTGGTGAAGGTTAAAGTGGGGTACTCCTACGTAGGAAGAAAAGGCACAGGATTCGCTAGTGACATGTGTGTAAATACATGCTAAAATAGGTTTGAGAGAGATATGCAACGAAACTTAATGCTAATGCTTGACAATATTGTACTTCAAATAATTCTATATAATATAGTGAATGAAATATTTAAACAGGAATACATTATTTTCAATGTATTTTATTTCACCATCCTGGATAAAGTACCATAATAACAATGTGCTATTGCCCAAACAAGAGATAAAAATGTATCTTTCTAGTATATATTAATTATGAAAATGCTTCTGAATTAAATTAAAATAAGTTATTGAACAAATTTGTATGGATTATGTGTAAATTCAATGCAAACACCCAAAATTCAGTTGCTAATTGCAATCACAAATAATTTATTTATAAAGTTTAATTATTAACATTGAAAGATGTTAACATTACTGAGATAGATAAACTGTCTGTCTTTCAATGATGGAAAAGGGTTTTGTAGTGCTTGAGCACTACATGCAGTTTAGCATGTTATGTCTGAATAAAAATTCCAAATTTACCAGCACAATATTTTCAAGAACATGTTCGAACATTTTGTTACTGGGCTTTCACTCATTACAAGAATCCATTTATCAGCTATTCAGACAAAATGTTGCTCAGCACCTGTTGCCTTCAGGCTCAATGGATAATTACCAACAAGATGTGTTGTTTTTATTCAATTACACTGATCCACAAAAAAGACCAAAACAAAACACGCGGTTTCTGGAAAAAATCTGCTCCTGAAACCAGATTTCAAAATTCTTGAACCACTTTAGTTCCCATGTCATCATGTTGTGTGTTGTTTTGCTATTGGGTATGTCATCCTATATGCAGCCTATATTGCAAAATAAAGCTCTTGCAGTAAAATATCCAAATGTAAGGAGCAAAAATACAATAGAAGTGTAGGAAAAATAAGAAAAAAAGTATCCAGAAATATATCTTGTGATACTTAGTCATGAGAACATCGCTTCATCAAGCTCAAAAGTAATTGCATGATATTGCAGTATCCCAATTGCCTTCATGATGCTTTTCTATTTGATAAATACCTTAGTGAAATCTTTCACCATACTCTTCACCTATGGTGTTAAGGTTATCTGAGAAGTCCAAATGATCATTCAAGAAACAGTTTAAGCAACATTACATCCTATACATTGATATGATAAGATTTCGGGATAACTTGGAAAAATGAGGCAATTTGTTGAAAGGGTTGGTTTCTGCCCAATTCCTTGAATTTCGGTGGTACTGTAACACAGTTTTTACATTGTGACCATTGCTGACGTTCAAAGTAAATGTGCAATAACCCCTCACAAATTGCAGCACTAACAGTGAGGGTATATATAAAGCATGTCAGGTGGAATGGAAAATATCACAGTAGTTTTTGTAGTCGAGAAAAGGAGGAATTTATCAGACACCCAAAAGGGTACGATCATAAGCTTTCGGACCAAGAGCGGAACGGTAAAATTCGTCAATTGTTTGCATGCCATGGTTAAACTATACCATGCAGTGTTGAATTAACCAATAGGCAGTACTAGGCAATTGTCTGGGGGCCCCGATGACATGAATTTTTAAATAATTAAACAGTTACTTTATTTTTGTAACCATGTATTAATTTTAGAGACATTTTGAGCTCATAAATGCAATTATTAAATTCCATGACAGCGTAGAACGAAAGCAAAATGTGAATACTTTTAAATCGTGAAAGCTCGATACAGTAGACTCCGGCTATAGTGAACGTTTGACATCCTCTATCAGAGAATGTCAAAATTATATAGAATGATTGATTTATTTTATAATAGATACAAAAAATTCATTAGCAACAGCATGGGCTGAAAATCAATCTCTTTATTTGTCCTTCAATTATTATTTTCATTGTTTGCTTCAAATACTTTTCAGAAGTAATTTAACTACGTCCTCCAAAGTTAATGCTCTCTCAATTCTTGATTCCCTTGCACCCTTCAATGCATCTTACACAATAGTGCTCCAATAGGAGCATAGTCACACTCCCTTTTACTTGCCTAATAACATACGAAATCCATTTGCTAGTTACATAGCTGCCAATGAAACTGATCTCTTCCGTGCAGTGCGGGAAATGCAATGGAGTGGTGGCGGTAGCCCACTTCTGGTCACCTAGGTAGATACAACATGCTTTGTCCTGCAGAATAGAATGCCAAGCTTGAAACTGAAGCAAGCAAACACACATAACTGCCCTCCAGTTGTAACCCATGCAATACTGCCTTTGTTTCCGCAGTGAAACTGGCTTACGGTTATCAGTAAGATGCCCATTCCAGATCTGCTACCTTTACGTCAGAGGAGACTTCAATTATAACCTTCGGGCAACAAAATTTTTGCCAGCTGATAGAATTTATGGCACTGAGGTGATGTATTTTTTGTCAGGAGGGAATTAATTTCCAGTATGTATTTCCTATGATCACCATCACTGAATTTTCTTATGCTTATTAAGTGAAATGGGACCTGTGACTTAAGTTGACTGTATTTTGTTACAAGTCATTTTCTTTTTCTTCTTTTTTTGTTTTCTAGGACTTCAAAAATAAAATAAAATCTAGTGTAATTTTTTATAGATTCGTTAATGTATGTATTCCGAATGCAGACCCTAATAACATGTAATATCGTGAGGGGGATGGTCAATGAAAGTGGGGCAGCTCCCATTTGTTCTTGCCTAGGGCCCCGTTGAGTGTTTATCTGCCACATACACTGTGTATGGCAAAATGGTGACATTCAAAACAGGCTCTGAGGAAACTGGAGCACTCCTGGTCATAAATGACTGGAGAATGATGGCTGCGGAGATGTGTACATGCGAATAGACATGCCACTTTAGAGCAACTGATGAACTCTTTAAGAATCATTAAGCAAACGTTGCTGCAAATAGGCCTCCGCACCAGGCACCTGGCTTGTGCATCTACGCTGACTGCTGATCATTAGTGATGAAGGCTAGAATTTGCAACTTAATACCGCAATTGGACATCCACTGAGTGGGGACAGGTGGCATTTTCATATTAATTACATTTTGTGCTTCATCGGACAGATGGTTGTTGGCTTATACGGTGTCAAACATCTGAATGCAAACACCTTGCAACAATCGCTGAACGATCCAGCAAAATTCAAGAGCTGACTCGTTAATGTCAGGGTAGTTTGTTTTATTTTAGCATGATATTACAAACCATATGAAGGAAACTGCTCTAGAAAACCAGAAAATGTCATGGAAATTTGATCCAGGAAATGAGTGGCCACCCTGTATGTTCTCAAGTTCATATACAATTTCTCAATAGTATTGGTCACCCAGCAATACTTTGCCTACACTTGTGAAATAAAGCCAATCAATCTTTTCACCATTGCAGAACAAATATTCATTAGACATTAATTCTCTAATTTTTGGTCCTATATTCCTTGGAGTCAAAAATTCCATATCACAGCAAAGTGAATGGGATGTGATCCTTTTAACCAGTTTGTCAGATGTACAACACAGTAAACAATATGAGAGGTGCAGGAATTTCTTGTTCTTAAACCTTACACCTGAAATAAAGCTTTTGACAAAACAGTAAAGTTTGTTATTTCAGAATGGAATTTCCTCAGGTAAAAAGAAATATTTGTTTCAATTATGAGGCATATCTTCTGAATTAACACATCATAAACCTAGAACAAGTTATATCCACACTTCCCTCAGGGTCAAAATTTTCAACTGTTGCAACTGGCATCAAACAATGTAATTTTACATGTTCCGGCATGAGTATTCGGCTTCATTTCCATACATCAACTTCCCGGAGGTGTATTTCTGAATTGATGTATGGCAATTCATCAAACATTTAGATTGACAATCACGTCTGTAAAATAATTAATAAAGTCTCAATAGAGAAACCAATATACATTTTCAAAAACTTTGGAGGGTAGTGTCACAAAAAGGAATCTGAGCCTCCTCTGCAAAAACCGAACATCATTCAAGTTTGTGACAAAAACGTGTTATTAGGACCTTATGTTAGTAAAGCAGTTATTAGTCCTTGTTTAATGAATATTTTATTAAATTGATTTAATTTTTAGTGTAACTTACAATTTTTGCAATAATTAGTTTTCAGAACATTTTCTGAAGTACTTTGCAGATTTTTGGAAGGATATAGTTTTCCTACTTTAAGATTGACATTTTGATGGCATATAAATGAGGATTAGTAATCATGTAATTTAGGTTTGCACTGGTAGAAAGGCCACGTATAATGAAATTTGTGTTTAAAATGTGTTAATTAATTTAAATGTCTGCAGTTATTTTGGACAACACTGGATATAGTAAAGGCTACGGCTTCATAAGGTTTGCAAATGAAGATGAGCAAAAGTCTTGTCTTACACAAATGAATGGATACAAAGGATTGGGTGGAAAGCCTATAAAAATAAGTAATGCTGTACCCAAAGCCCATCGTTTTACAACTTCAGTGTAAGTCGTATTAAATTAATGAGTCTTATCAAATCAATTTTCTGTTTTCCTAATTGAATGAATATTGTTATAGTACAACTCACACAACTGCTACAACTACCACCACGACTGCATATGCTACTAGTCAAGATTATAGCCAATACTATGATCCTTCATACTGGCAGAACTATTCAGCATGGCAGCAAGGTTATTATGATACAAGTGCTGATCCATCAGCCTCAACAGTGCACATGCAGGCTACTCAAGATTATTTGCAGAGCATGAATGTTTACTCTGCTGTTCAACCAGTAGATGAAACTACAAATGCAGCAGATGATATGGAGCTTGTAGGTAAGTAACAATACTAGCATTTGACTAGTTTTATACCTGGATTGTTTTGATTATTTCAATTTAAAACAGTAAATGCTGTAGGAAATTGAGTTTGAATTGTAATGAGTGTTTTTTTCTTTTCCTGCAGAACACAATGTACCTGTTGATGTTGAGAAGCTTAATAGAGAACTTATTGAGAGAGATTATTGTTTATGGGATGCATTGGAAAGTTCGAAGTGGTTACCTGTTGAAGGATTGGATTGTACTGATATGTCCAATTATAAATATGCATGATTATTTTTGTATTCGTGATACAGATAGAGTGCATTTAAATTCCTTATGTTATATGTAAATTTTTATATGATGCAAAAGTATTTCCAATCTTAAATAGAATTCAATGAACATGTCTTGCTAGAAGTGATTTGTTTTCTTACTGTCTGTATATGATCCTTCATCCACTTCTCCCAAACATATGGTGTCTCAATTCAAATTAATACAAGCACATTAATATCTGATAATTCATTAATGTTTTTGCAATAGTTCAGAACACTTTATGCTTACAAAAATACATGTTACATAATTACATAGTAATGTTCAAAATACACTCCTCATTTTTTTTCACTGTATTATTATCTGGGCTAAATGAAATTTACAAGGAGCAAAAGATCTTCCAGGAACAAATTTGAAAACTTCTTTGTAAAGAAATTCCTAATGAATATTACAAAAATATCCAAATCCATTGCACTTAAGTGTTGGCAATATACAAATAACTTTGATATTCTTTTCATAGTACATATACTCTGCACACAACATGAATATTCTAATTGACCTCGTGAAAAATTTATAATATTTGCATATGAAGTCTTTCATACAAGTGAATTGAGAAATAATGACTGGCACAAAAGGTCAAGAATCATTTTGACACCTTTGCTATTTTTTAACACTTTTTCACCCCTCAGGTACAGAATATCCCACAGTGTCAATGAATATACACAGGAACTTAAGTTATAGTGGAATGAAACAAAATTAGCACAATAGGTTGCACTCATGACTACTGCGCACTTAACTTGGTACAAATTAAATCAATATATAAATTTATTTGAAGAATTCTGGAGCATGGTAAATCTTGCAGTAATTTGCAATATTCATAGAATTTTTCATTTGATAGGTATTCACTTTGTGTCAAAGAAAAAGAAAAATAGCATCTTGATACAAACCATTTCATACACTTCATCACTCTGTACATGAAATCACATATTTCAGAAGTAAACAAATTGAATGTTTCTTAAGGAACTAAGATCAATACGAATCATTATATTCTAAGCATTCTCAAAACTTCCATAATCCAGCACAAAAACTCATACCACTTTTTTTAAAAAAAAGTTTGGTTTATCACAGGACACAAAATCTCTTCATCAGTAGAATCACTTCTGTAGAGAGGTGCAAATGGAAATAACACTAGTATCATACAGGGTCAAATCTTGCCAAAGGATCGTCTTTATCTAATGGTGGTGGTACATCAGGTAGTTTGGAAGTATGGCCTTGTGTAAGATATCCTGCTGTTGTAGGAGGGGCTCCTACAAACAAACCAAAAGTAACTAATGAATTAATAATTCCTAGTGTACGTAGTAATTTATTAATTAATTTATATATACACAAACACAGAGTGAGTCATTTCAGATAAAACTAGCATTCAACAGCACTTCCTCACATTATTCTTAAATTTGCAATAATCGAAAATTCATAGAGTTCAACAATAATTAGACCCGAATCATTTTTTTAAGCATTCCTTATTTTATAACTATTTTATAAATAGCATTTATTTCAAGCATTAAAGAATGATTTTTTTAGAACAATTTATGTTGCAGGCAAATATCTCAATCATGCTCAATATCAAAATACACAGCATTCACTAGAAATGAAATTAACACCATATTTTTTTACTGTCCTTTGATACATACGAGGAGAAAATTTAAAGAAAAAAATTGTCGGAAAAATTTAAAAATTGCCTATATTCATGGAAAATTAAGTGAAATCTGCTCATATTTTCGAAAAATTATACATGATCTTATTACAAGATCTGTCTTTAAAAAACAGATTTCATTACAGAAAAAATCCCTATTTTAAATAATGTAGTTGTAGGAAGTCGAGATAAATTTTATCGTTTGCAATTTTTAAAAAAAGTCATTGATTTCAATGAAAATTTGACCTGCACCTTTCTGCTACCCAAAAACAAAGTTTAATAAAAAAAATGTAGCTATTTTTAACAAAAGTTTGAAGCTTCGTGTAAAGTACACCCAAAAATATTTGTTTTAAACTTAAGAGGGCATTGAGTTCCTTTAAAGTTGTCCAGGAATATCAATTTTGGAGGAAATCGGCTGAAAGATTGCTGTTATCACGGAGACATTTTGCAGTCAATCAATTGTACATACATCAAGCACCTACAAAATTCTGACTACACAACATGTTAGAGGCAGTGGATATTTTATTAAGCATACGAACAAAATTTATCCGCCTATCGTTACCATGTCCCAGCAATAATTTTATCTTCTGAAAATTTGCCATTTTCCAGTGCATGATTACAATTCTTTTTCTTGGAGTACTGAGGAAGACCACAACAATATGGTAAAAAAGTCGACATCACAGCACTTTCTTTTCTTACAAAGTAGGGGTGAGGAAGTAAAAAGCAACACCATGTTCCTCAATTACTAGCATTAAATAACTCCTTCACCGTTTTGACCTCAAGCATGAATTCCCATAGAAAGGGATCTTTGTAATTTTGCAGTTTTGTCATGTTTGTTGCCACAGCTTTGTGAACATTTCTATGACAAAATGCATTTGCCAACAGCAAATGCACTGCAATACTGATGTCTCACTGGAGAGATCACGCACAATTGCTGTGGTAATATACTCCACAATTTCACTAATTCACAAATTTGTCCCGAATCATCTCTTGTATCAATCATCTTTGGTACATTTTTTTCTTTAGCATCACTTAGAAATATTGGCTGTGCTTTGATTCACTTAATGCACAACTTTTTGGGTATTATAAAAGAAAAGAAGTATCCAAGAAACTAAATGTTTCTCAGTAAGACAAAAAAAAAAAAAATTATTTTATTCAGGATTCTTTTATTTTCCCACTGAAAGGACTCACTCTGTATTCCATAAGTAGATCACAGACAAACCTTATTTTTCAAAATACTTTACCTGTGATGCAGCCACTAACAGTGGAATTTGTAATGAACAAATCATGTCTCTGATCTTTATATTCAGCCCATATACTTGATTTTTCCAACACAGCAAGCACTTTGTCACCATGTAACTGATTTCGAGTCATTGACTTTAATGCTTTGACAATCTGTGCTTTTGTCAAAGCAGGATTTTCTAAAGCTTCTAGCCTTCCTTCCAATAAACCCAGCAAATAGTTCACCATTTCTGCTTCAAGTGCCTGAATTAATAAGGTAGAAAAATGAGTAAAAATGTAACATTTCAACAGGTAAGTGAATTGAATACATAATTACTGAACCTGTTTGATTAATTGATCTTGATTGGCAGAGAAAAGACGATTTAGAGTTTCACAGGCCACACCAATCATATCTTTCCGAATCTGCATTGCCTTCTTCAGAGGACTGATACACTCTGTATTGGCCATTGTTTGTATGCAAACCTAAATAACATTGAATATCATGCAATAATACATATACATTTCAATTCATAAACTGAATCTTATGAAGTAAACAAAATTATCACAAAACTATTTTTAAAATAGTTGCCTGTAATATTAATATACTGATTTTGATGGCAATTATTACATGTAGTATGTTTCCTAAATTATGACAAACAGAAAATAAGTCAAACACAGACATTCCAAGAGGTGATTTTCTAAAGCTTTTAAAAGTTAAGACTTAAATGTTGGCACTAATCATGTTAAATATGACATTGAACTTGTTCAAGGTAACACAAATGTATTTATTATATGGTGGATAATAAAAACTACAAGAAATTAATAATTATTAATAAAAAACACAAATTTTTAGAAAAGATTAGTCAGTGAGCTTCATTAAATATTTTACTATCATATTTATCTCTAATGCTAAGACTCAAGCTTAAATTTGTATTTCAGCATATAAGTTTTTCCCATTGGAACTATTACGGATACAAAGAAATTTCACTAGTCTGCGCTATTGAGCATTTTTTTCTGACAACACATCATTGCTACTTCCAATAACTATTACTTCTGACATATTTATCCTTAGGAAAGGTTTCAAAGAAGAAATAAGTGTATGATATATTATTGATAATGGTTTTGTATTATAATATTCTACTAATGTATCAGGCTGGATAGTGAAATCCAGCGCCGACCTACCCTGGCATAAACGGATTTTCCCGACCCAGGTATCTCCCACGAGCGGAACACCGCCCCAGCCGGGGCAAGCTCTAAGCTCCCGGCATGACTGATAGTGCCATAAATGTAAGTGTGTGTGAGTGAAGGATGAGGAGAGGGCAAGGAAGGAAAGATCGCACGTGGTCCGTGGCCCGTTTTTGGGTACTGCTCCGGCATTTGCCTGGCGTTGATCGAAGAAACCACAGAAAACTACCGATTGGAGCAGTCAGGCGCTAGAATTCTCCTCCAGACACTGGCTGAATTCGACCAAGATCTCTAGCTAGTATCGAAAATCCTGCCATCATGGAGACTCGAACCTACGGTTCACCGGTCAGAACCACTGCAGTGACATCAGTCGACGACCTAAGCCACCTTTGCCAGAAAATGCATTGTGTTAGGAATTTCTAGCTTCAATGTTGAAGGTGGAAAAACAGACAGAAAAAAAATAGAATCTTCAATTTTCAAAATTCTAGTATGTATAATGAAAATAGGGCCAATAACAATATTATTATTATTATTATTATTATTATTATTATTATTATTATTATTATTATTATTATTATTAAGCTCTTTACTCTAACTGAGCTTAAAATTTTAAGAAGAAAATGTAGAATCTTTCCAAGAAAATCTAATTTATGTACTTTGTTTAAACATACTTTTATTTCATATAAAATTGCATGAAAACTACTCATGTTTTGAAAAAAATGTGCCTTACTTTATTAAAAGATATAATATTCAGGAAGATTTCATTAAGAAAAAAATTCTATCTTAAAAATATAATAGGTGGAAGGAGTCAAAAACTCGCGATTTCTGAAACTTTAGGTTCAAGTTAAAATTTGGAGAGTAGCGCCATTGTATTGGTCTATTTGTGTAAAACAAGAGTAAAGAAAAAATGTGTAAATGAAAAAAAGAAATTAAAATAGCCCTTTCAAATTCATAACGGCCGGATTGATCAGGGAATATGAATTTCGGGGAAAATCCTGGGTATGGTTTCGGCGGTAGAGTAATATGCAGACAGAAATCCCCAAGCATTTTTTTAGGATCAAAAACCACAAAACTCATGGACACACATGAACATCAAAGAGACTGATTCTGACTACACTACTGCGATGTATCGCGCTGTGCGCTCATCGCCGGCGCCATAATCGCGCCCTCACGCCTAGAGCGACCAGAGGGCGCCTCGGTCAGTATCACCATTAGCCGCGCACATGACCCTGGCTGGTCGAGGGCCGAGAAGGCCATAAAA